CGCTTCAAGCATGCTTAGTGTGAGGGATTGCTGAAGAGTCAATGAGTCGATGCAATCAGCTGGTTTTCCTTAGATAGAAAACTTTGATTAATCTGACTGGATGATCTGGTGAACTGTAAAGTGCCTTCAGATGATGTGTGCTGTGAATTGTTGTGAATCTATAGAAATAAACTGCACTGCAAAAAATAGAAATCTAAATAAGTCTTTTTTTTCTTAAAATAAGAGCTTTTTTTTCTTTAATTTAGGAGGAAAGTGAGACACTTTGCAAATGGAAAAAGACAAATAACATTTGCATTGTTTTTTTATTTTCAGGTGCATATTATGTAATTATATGCAGAGTAAAAACTCATTCCATCGGCAAATCATCTTATTTACCTGCTCAAATAAAGGGTAAATACACTTAATTTCTAAAATTTGTACTTATTTCTATATAATTTTTGCAGTGTGAATTCAATTTCATTTGAAAATGTTCTTGTTTGACCAATTAAGCTTTGATGTTAAAGCAATACATAAAGTAGGTTTATCCTTCAACATTCTGGCTTTAATAATAACTGTTGGAAACAACGTTTTATCTAAACTAACAATTTTCATTTTAATTCATGTTTGGATTGAGTCATTGCGAGATTTTGCTGCTTTTTGTTTTTCTGCCTGAAAATATACAACAAAATGAATCCAGAACATCTCCACAGTTATCACATTTAAATGCAAACTTTTGGTACCTCTGTCAAATCAACACAATATTCTTCAAGTTTATAATCCTGGCCCAAAGGTTGCAGAAAGTAATGAACTCCCTGCAGTACCTTAAGAACCCCACTAGATGTCACTATGTTCACGTTTAAGATTTCTGCTTCACAGAAACATCTGATAAACTATTTATAAAGCGAAGCCTTGCTGTAAAAGGTAATTGATATCATTGAACATTTGCTGCAGGGTTGTCCTGCTGTGGTTCCGAAACATTTCTCGATTATTTCAGAAACTTCTGGAGATAAAAATGTCCAAATGTTTCTGATGTTGTTGTACTGAAGCCTTCCTCCTGTAGGGGGCACTGTTTCCGGTTTGAAGCCTACAGGGCCTGACAGCCTGCAGAGACACACTCTGCTGAACATGGCTCCAGCTGTAAATAAAAGGTTAAACTGAAATTTTATTTTTAGAAATGCGGTTAGAAGACACATTTAATTCATTTTTTCTTGTATTTATAACCTTGAACCATCACAGAGGCTTCCTTCCTCCATCTTTTCTGTCATATATCCAAACCTTCCTTATTAATCATTACCTTTCCTTTACCTTTTTCCATGGGAGGTATTTTTATTCATCTTTCTGTTGTTAATTAATCAGCCGGCTCATTTCCTTTTAACCCCTTATGTGCCGGCCTGACTGACTCTCCATCCTCTCCTAATGAGCACAGACTGAGGGTTTAGACAGCTGTCTGAATCCAAATATTTGCTACCCTTTCTCCTCTCTATATTAATAAATGATATAATAGCCTTTTGGAGAAATATTTTCCAATTAAATGGCTCTTTAAAAAGTCCATCCTTTCCAGTTTTTTTTTGTTTTGTCTTTTTGCCATCTGGGAATATTTCTAAACATCCCTCTGGATTATTTAGAAGATGAATGTTTCTTTAAACTCGCTTCATTATCTTACTGCTCCATTGTTTTTCTTTTCAGGAATCTTTCGTTCCGTTTATTTGTCTGGAAATAGGTGTGAACTCTAAGCTATGGTTCCATGTCTTTTTCTTCTTCTCTGCTTCCTTTGTTATCCAAAGAGTTCAAGTTTCTTCCTCTCTAACTTAAGAGGCGTCTCCCCTGTTTGAATCAATCCCGCATCATTAGTTCTTTCTTTATCAGCTCCTGTGCCACACCAAAGAACATGGTGGCTCTAACAGAACCATCACATATAGCTCTGTAAATAACAACCCTGGTTGGTGAAGATTCAGTCGTCCAGCTCATAATCATTCCAAAAAAGTAAAAAAAATAAAATAAAATAAAAAATGAAAGAAACAATCCTCTGGACTTTGTTTCTAAGTTTGAAAACATTTCGCTTCCCATCCAGGAAGCTTTTTCAATTCAAAATGTCAGAAATAGTTTGAGGCCTTATAAAATGGACCCATTTTGCTTAGAAAACATGCAAATAGAAACGGACGAATGGGTCCCCCCCTTTGGAATGGGGGTCGTTTGGTTTCTGTGTTCCCCTTTAATGCCCCATACCTGCATTTTCCCTGAAAAGGGGGAATTTTGAATTGAAAAAGCTTCCTGCATGGGAAGCAAAACCTCTTCAAACTTGTTTTTTTTTTACTTTTTTTGTAACCAACCCTGGTTGTAATTGATCTTATTCATATCCAGCTGTTCGGCACCATGAACTGCAGACATTAGCGGATCTGCTTTCTCCACATTTGAACCCGTTAATATAAACCACAGCAGGGGTCTTAACCCAATCATTGTGACGTGAATCCTGGTATATTCTGAGGGTCTGATCGTTTTATAAAATACATAAACTTAAATCTATGATGAAGTAAATTATTGTACCAAGAAATAAGTGCATGAAACATTTATTTATTCATCAATAAAAAGACATGATTTGGATATAAGATGGGCTGCTCAGTACTGCAGTGGGTAGCACTGCTGCCTTGCAGCAAGAGGGTTCCGGGTTCTATTCCTGGCCCGGGGTTTTTCTTCATGGAGTTTGCATGTTCTCCC